TTTAAAAAAGCCATAAGATCCACGGAACAAAAGTTTGCAAAATTTTTCCCTGTTTAGTCAGTTTTGGTTTTTGGTGTTTTTTTTTTTTTTTTTTTGTAGTGGAGACAGCATGTTGTGTTTTAATTCCCAACAAGCTGGGAAATGAGATAGCAGAGCTTTGGAATAATGCTAAAGGTAGAATTTTATAATAGTGTTAAAGATAGGCTTTAGAATAATGTTAAAGACATACATACTGTTTAAAACAAAGGGGGATATCTATTAGAAGCAATTCCAAAGCAGTGGCAGGTAGCAATGTAAATAGGAAGTGGGTTGGATATCTGTTCCTAATTATTTTATTAATAGATTGGTTTTTTCAGTATACCAAGCCAGGATTGGTAGTGACTACAAGTCATTAACATGCTGCCTTCATGCCCTCAGTTGGATATTTTATATTTATAATCCCATTTTTAAGGCTTTTTATTCCACATACTTCACAAAATAGGATTTAAACCAGTCACAAAAATACTTTTCTGAACTGTCCTCTAAATAATGGCAGAATTTAAGGGAATGTTTCTAGTTCTTTCAGACTTTAATCAGGCTGTAAGCATTAAAAACAAATGCTATTTAAAAAACACACCCAACCCCAAACCCTTGATTTGTGGACAAATATTGTGCCAAATGGAAACTGTAGGAGAAAATTGAAATGCTATAATGGAATGTTTGCAAGATGACTTCGACACCCTCTTGCAAAAGTGTCATGAAATGTTTTGCATCCAAATGTGTTCCTGACCTTTATTTTTGTGTGGCACCCCAAAGCTGGTATTTTCAGCAAGGGAATCACAAGGGCCAGTGCTAAAGTTGTGGTCAGTTTTCATGTTTATTCAGAAGTTCAGTGAAACACTGAATTATCACTTTTTTCCCCTTCAGAAATATTATTCTTTGTGGGATAATGGATTTTCTTTCAGATAATAATATGTGATAGAATCATGAGTTAACTTGATAGTGGTCACACTCTAAAATATTTTGAGGAGCATGTCTGAGAAATATCTTAAAGTTACTTAAAAACTCCATTATCTGATACAGCACTTGATCTTTGGCTTAGAGAGCCAAAACTGACAAAATCATTTGGAACTGATGATGGGCAGTTCTGGTGATAAGATGGAATGTAATCCATTGAAAACTGTGTCAGGCATCTGAGTGCTGTCTGATTTTTGTGCTTTGTTTTTGTTTCCCTTTGTAGGGTGAAGGAGACCAGTTACCTCCAGAGCATACTGTCAGACAATATGAAACATCCAAGATCAGGGCTATAAAAGCTGGAACTTTGGAGAAACTGGTGGAGAACCTTCTCACAGCTTTTGGGGATGCAGATTTTTCCTACATCAGCATCTTCCTCTCAACATACAGGGCCTTTGCTTCTACCAAGGCAGTGCTGGAACTTCTCCTGGACAGGTAAGAGCCAGTATTTAATGGAAACGGAGCCATCATTTACATGACAGTAGGATGTTATCAGGAATTTTTTCCATTGCTTTTAATGGACATGGATTTAATAACCCATGTCAAGAATGCTGCAAAATCCAGAACTTCATCATAAACATCCAGTGTATAAATGCATTGCTGCCTACATCCCAACTCCTATTAAAGTCACCAAGTAGGGAAAGTGTGCCATGTCTGGCTGCTAAAGACCCAAACTGGGCCAACACAGGAAAATTAATACAGCTTTCCCCCCCAAAAAACCTCACAGAATGCTGGGGCTGCAAAGTCATACCTAGCATAGATTCCAATGTTTTGCTGGATGCTGATATTTTCAGACCTAACTCTCCTATTTGGGGAGATTTGAAACGGGGATTGTACAAACACAACAAAGAATTTGCCTCCCCCTTCTATAACTTCACATGAATATGCAGCCCTAAATTTTTGCAGACAGCACAAGAACTGCTAAATGTTATAAGAATAGCATTTATGGCAAGACTGTTAAATCATGGCTGCTGTGTCTGTATAAGTGCTTGGAACATGCAGCATTGCTTTCTCACCCTAAATTCTAACTGAGACACAGCTGGGTCAGAGGTGGTCTTATTTTGGGAGTGTCGTATTTATTGCATTTTCAAAATCAAATGATATACAGAAGTGGCTACTTTGGCAGATAGTAATTAGAACATAGAATTAGTGATTAGGACATAGAAGTGGCATAAGAACTCCTAGGATTTAATTTTGGCTCTCACACTAGGTAGATAAGGAACAAGGCATGGATAAATTACCTGTGCTTTTCTTTTGTATCTGAAAAGGATAATACTAGTTGCTTTGTAGGAATATTGTGGCTTAATTAGTATGATATTAACAATAATAACTTGACAGTAAGGTAAGAAGCCTGCTGAGAAAAGAGCAGCCATCCTGGAGTGCAAACTTAGGATTTACTACTCTGAGCTTTACCTCTCAGCCCATCCCAATTCTGACACAGAACGTGGGGAATGCTAAAAATTGATGGTGGGTAGATAAAAGAATATAAAAATGTTGAGGCTCCAAGGAAGCTGGCCCTGCCCTCCTCTGATGCTGCTGTAAAATGTCAGGAGGGGGCAATGAGGCCCAGGGGAAAAGTGTCCGTGGAACAGAACTTTCTTTTCTGAGCCCAGTTCTGATCTTACTGCCTTTTGTGCTCTGAGCAAGCTACAACATCCCCTTCAGAGGAATGGGGTGCCTGACCTTGTCAACATTATGCCCAGCCTTTTATAATAAATGATAGAATCCACAGGAAATCTTAGGAGGTCACCGCTTCCTTCCCCTCTCACAAATCTTAGGAGTGTAGTGGTTAAGAATCCGTGGATGTTTCTCTTGGCTTTTTGAATATCATGGATAATCTAGAATTTTATGGCTTGGGACAAAATATAGATTAAACTTAAGCTATAAAAGTTGGAATGATTTACATGCAGCTGAGATATATGGACCAGTGAAGAAAAGCAGATGTTACAAAGAAAAATTATAAAAAAAGATGGATGGTAATTGATTTTAAACAGCTTGGTTTTCATCGCTACCTTGGTTCAGGATAAGTAGCAAAGAGTCTGTATTTTTCCAAGTTTCTTTTTAATGATACTTATTAATAATCACAGCACAGAGACTAAAGTGGGTGTCAAAGTGTCAAATAATCTGTGTTTTATAAGTACTTACATTTTGTTTTGTGTTCCAGTGAAGTAATGAAAAGGGCAATCTCTTAAAAAAAAAAAAAAAGTTCAGTTTTGGCATTTGTTATCCGTTTCTGATGTATGAATTAGACATACAGAAATCCAGATTAAGCAGAGTCCTGGAACTGTTAAAATAGTGTCCTGGGGAATCTGGATATGCTGTACCCTAAGTGCGTGGGGATATTTGCTGGTCACTCGATGCTGTCTGCAGAGTATCCTGTCCAAGCAGTGCAATATTCACTGAATTTGTCCAAAAGCAGGTGGAGTGCTCTTCCCTGTGTGTCAGAGGCAAATAAGAAAAGCAGATGCTGTACTGAAGAGAAATCTCAGTTTTAGAAACCTATTATTATTATCATCACTCCAGGACTTCACATTAGGCTTTTGCTTTTGATTAAATTTCAGACCGGAGCCCTGTTAAATTTTTTTGGCCAGATTCAGTCTATAAAGGTTTTCTTTTAACCACAGATTAGAAGTCACTGAGCAATATTTTGAGCATTAGCTGGTATGTTGAGAAGCGAGGGGGATGACTTGTGTTTTCAAAGCTATTTAAGAGTAATTGGACATCCGAATCCCTTTAGTATTCATGGAAGTTTGGCAACTGAGTGCAGCAGGCAGCTTTGAAAACCTGCCAAGCTTTTAACACTGTATGTGCTGATATTTTCTAGTTCTTTGATACAAGTGGCTAGGGAGAGTTAAAAGAAAAAGATCTTGTTTGTATTTTTATGTGAAAGCACTCGATGCAAGTTTCTGGAGGGACGGAAAGGAGAGCGGCTCCTCTGGCCCTGGGGTGTGGGGGTGCTTTGGTATCCCCAGTGGGATATTCCAGAGTGGTATTCTCACAAGTGTGATGGAAGCCAAAGATGTTTAGCTAGCTGTCCAGATGAGGGTAGAAGCAGGCCAGATTCCTCTCTTACATATTTTATTTTTCCCTGATAATCATGTTCCTTAAAAGCAGGGCCGTGCTGTGCTTGGCTCGGGCACAGATAAAGTAGCAACCAGTCCCTATCTGGAGGAGTGTGCAGAGGAGGGAACTATGGGAGAGCTGGAGCTGGGTAATGACAGCAAAGAACAAGTTAGTTTTATGTTTTCTGTTCACTCCTTTTGCTGGAGGATGGTCTGCTAGAGGGTCAATAGAGAGGACAAGGAAGGCAGAGGGGGAGATGTTGAAGGGATGTGTCCCGTGGTAGCAGAGCCCCATGTTTTGGGACAGCAGCTTTATGTGGTGTTTGGCTGACTGCTGGCCCTATAGCATCTGTTATTCCCTCTCTTTCCCCTCTGTACCAAGTGGTTTGCCTACTCAGCTGGAGAAGTGACTTCATTCCCATGATTCCTTATGTATAGGATTCAAACCACCTTATTCTTGCTGAGAGTCTGGGCTTCCAAATTGCTTGCTTCAATGCTCACAAACTTATTTAGGGCTTTGTTTGGGGCTGTTGCAGAGAACCACCTTTCCTTTATTAGTTCTGATTTATTCCGAGTATTTTCCTCCCTCTTCTTAACAGAGACCCAGGGGTGCATTTTCCACTCTGTTTTTCAGTATTTAAACATTCAGTCCTACCCATCACATTCTAGTCTCATTTGCTTAGTCAGTCCCTTTTGAGTGGAGTCTGTAACTTTCCAAATGCCAAGCAAGGCTGAAAAGTTCTGTGGGCTACAGGATCCTTTTGTTTCTTGTGTCTCTTTTTGTATGCAAAGCATTCATACAAGGCTGGGCAGTGAATGGCTCTTTGTGCAGGAGCTGGTGAGAACAGAGCCCTGGAAGGCTGCAGAAAGGCTGTTCTTTACATCAGCTGTCTCATTAACTCCTCCTAACCCATATTTAATGACTGTTGTTCAGGTAGAGATGAGAGATGGACAGAGGTTTACATCTGGCAACATAACAAAGTGTTATATTCTTCTCCAGTTTTGCATAGAAAACTGCCTGCTCTTTATTGCTGTCTTATGGATTTATCTTATAAAAATCAGCATGTCTCTAATGGGATTTGAACATAAGTACCTAATGCTCTGCAAAGACATATTTAATATTTCTTGCAATAGTAGGGCAATGACGTTGGGAATAATCTCAATAAATTTTGCTCAAAGAGTTAATGGCAAGTTTTGAAAACTGAATATAAAAATCAAATTTTTAATAAAAAAATTTCTCCCACCTGGGGGGAAGAGTGTCTTTTGTCTACTGGCTGAGATGTATTTTAGGCATCTTACAGAGTGGATGGCAGTGGAGAGTGAAATCCTCTCCCTTTAGCAACAGATCTGGGATTCTTACACATGAAACCTTAAAACGATACTTTAGAGGAGCTTAACACTACCACTACTATCATTTTTTGACACATTTTTTGAATAGTTTGTGACAGCTCTGACACAACAGCCCACTGTGTTTCTCTATCTGACACTAGGTTGTTGTATCACAAACATTTAGGAATGCTCTAGTTCTAACCCTTCAGCCTAATTTCAGGTGTATAAACCTGACTGTTTAAAATCACCTTGTCTTATTCTGAACAGCGAGCAATCGTCTGCCTTCATTAAAGCTGCCTGTAAGGAGCCATGGAATTCTTTCTGGATAATTATGGAGCTGTATATCTGAAACAATGGGCACTCCCATTGAAAATGAAGTGCATAATGCTGCCTGCAAGGCACAGCCTTGTAGGTAGGAGATTCTCCTTTGCTGCTGTTGGAGTTGTTCCCATGGTTTCCTCTTTCCCAGTGGTGGTTTCACGTCGTGGGCCATTCCCACCCGTGACAAATGTGTGGGAGTTGTGGCACAAAGTGAGCATTTGCCCCCTAGAAAACTTGGTATGGAATAACACTCCAAAGGAATGTCAGGTGCTAGAGAAACAGAAGCTGAATTGGAGAAAGGGGTTGTGTTACAGTGTCCTTGCACACTGCAGTATTGCTCTGGGAAAGGATGGAGTGGAAGCAGGCAAAGGGTTGTGGAGCTGTTTTGGTTGATCCCTCCTGTGTGCAGGCTGTTTCATATAAATTAATAAATTACCTTGGAAGATCCTGGCTGCTTCTTTGGGATTTTTTTTCCCTCCTAGATGAAATAATCTTCAAGCTCCTTAATTTTGCTCACCTGTTAGATTCCATATTTGTAGTTTGAGCTAGAAGCACTTGGTAGTTGTGTATGATAATTGTATATGAGTGATGCTATTTGGGATATTGCTTTTATTTGGTAGAGTTTCTTCTAAACACCCCTCTACTTTTTCAGGTTTGGAAACCTGGAAACCTCGAGCCATGGAGAAGTGGCAAACCTGAATTCCTTCGAATCCGAGGTCGCACTCAGGGCGTAAGTATGGATTTGCACTGCAGAGCAAGGCCAAGGCAGGATTTTGGTACTGGAGGAGGATGTGGGCAGCAGAGCTGTTGTTTCCATTGAAAATTCACAGCACTGTTTGCATGCTTAAACAAGCTTGTGGAAAGGCCAAATAACAGTTGGCTTGTAACATATACAATAATATAATCCAGGGATCTTTTGCAGGGAAATTGTCTCGGAATTAAACATGAGATGAACACATCTGGGCCAACATATAGTTGATTAAACAAACGAGGAGTGTTTGTTTCCTCTGCCTTATCTATGGCAGTAAATGGTTATTGCCTACGACTGATTTTATTGTGCATTACAGCAGTGCCTGCACACCAAAGCTGAGGGTGTTCCAGACAACGTGTGCGTGCATGTATCTTTTCCATTAGTGCCCCTGTGATTTACAGTGCTGCTTTTAGAGTGAAATTTAAATTCTGAGGTCATCCTAATTTGCAAGAGAAATAGCAAAGCTGTTTTGAACTGCAGTTTAAATGAGGAAAAGGTGGTTTGGCTATCCTCCTAGCATTTTATCTTTAGACATTGGGTGTAAAATGTGCCTTAGGTCATCAGCATTTGTACTCTGACGTCTGTGGTTTGCACGCACTGTGGCATGTGTCATTATATTTGATTACAGTGTGAAGATGCTTGATTTTTGTCAGTGTTACTGGTTTTCTGTTCCCCTTGCCCCGTGAGACTTGGACATAGGAGCTCGACTTTCCAATTCTTTCCTGGCTGCTGTAATATTTTCCTCCTAATTTGCCATGAGAACTCATCAAAGAACAGCTGGTAGTTAAAATTTGGTCACAAGCACCAAGAAAGCAGCATTATGGAGTGAGTAGAGGCAATAATACACAGCCAGTGGTTCCCTTCCATCCAAACTGAGGGTCTCTTCCAATGTTGGGCAAACCATTTGAACCTCACCCTATCTCAGTCATAAAACATGAGCTAAAGCAGTACCCTCTTGCAAAATACTTTAGGGATTTATATTGGGGACGTGGAAGATCATTTCACCGGTATAAATCATGTTGGGATGGATCCCCCAACTGCCTTTTTATGGACCCAGAGGAGTCCATGAAGTGGAGAGAGAAAAAGGGGTGAAAATAATGTTGACGCTACTTGTGTCACCAAGGCTTTGGGCAAACTGCATCAAGTTTTTGTTATGCCTGGAGGTGAGCGTGCAAGGGGAATAACATTTAGGAGAAGCATGTTTGTTTTGGTTTGGTTTTAACTGGAATTATTTTCCTACTGACATACACAAAGTTTACCAACCCTGTCAAGTAGCTTCCTGCTGCATCAATGGTTTCCTCCCTCTTGGCATGGGATCATCATGTAACCCCTTTGCTCAGCCAGGGACTGACAAACAGATGGAGCCTGTGTCCTGTCCTTGTGGTAGCTCAACTTCTGATGAGTTTTTCTGACAGAATTTTCATTAGTATGGTCAGCACAGCTGATTTTGCTCCTTTGGCCTTCATAAGATACCTTTTATGTGTGAGTTTGATACCTTTACCCAACTACATGTCTGTAGAAAGCTCAACAATGAAGTTGTCAACAAAGAAATTTGTCAGGTGTACGTGTTTTAGCAGATCCCATATAAATGTGAGTTCACTTTCCTCCTTTAAAAGTTTCCATGGCTCTCAGCTGCTCTGGCTACTTGTCTCTTAGGTATGATAAATGGTATCTGGAAAAGTGGTTGGCTTTGTAGTCCTGTTGTGAAACATGTAGTTCTAGTAGTTCAGGTTTTCTCTTGTCTGGGATAATTCCAATGTAATTGCATTTACCCTCTTTTCTCATAGAACAGAAACATGATATAATTGTGTTCTTGGTTTTATATGACTTGGAGAAATAAGAGGAAGAAGCAGTAGAGCCATGTTATTTCTTGCCATTAACTCTGTATTTCTCAGAGGAAAAGTATCTCATGGGGAAGCCTGTGGTCTGTGGCCGGAGACCTTCTGGGTTTGTCAGACTCCTGTTGTGACAGTTCAGAGGCTTTAAAAATCCAGTTAGGGCATTAGAAATGGGGATGCAATTTAAAGCATTTCCAGTGGTTTGACATAAAAAACTGCAGCAGAAGTTAAAAGCAACTGCAGATGAATGTATGGCTGTTTAAATACCTTATGGAGCTTTAAAGAAAGGGTGAAGTTTTGCAAAATCTTAGGGGTACGTGTGGGAGGAGCTGTGAGCTCACAGCTTACCGATTTCTACCCTGAAGTTCTCTGTGCTTTTGCACTTGTAGTATAGAGCTGTGATGTATTTTGAGGAGAATGTCTGATGTGTGTAAATTATCTGATTTTTTTCTTTTTTAAATTATGTCAGTATTCCACCCAATGTTCATATAGTGCAGAACCTTCAGGTCTGCACTAGGCCTTGAGCACACTTATGGCACAGCCTTGCTTGAGAGGCTTTTGGGAGCTATAAACCTGCCCTTGTGTTTCCAAATTCTGGGGCTGAGCCAGCACACACTTTTCACACTTGCTGCAGTGACATATAGTTGTTACTGACCCAAGATCACTTCAGCTATGTTCAGAAACATGCCTTCTAAGGATTCCTTGTGCCAAGGGGATTTTTTCCTGTTCACTTAAACATCATTCCTATCATTTTTGGGCTGCTGGAGTGGTCAAAAAATTGTATTTTTCAACAGGGATGTGTTAGATCCCTGTTAGATCTAAATTTCATCTAATATATAGTTTAAACAAAGGTGCTGTAACTTTCAAAATGCCTTGTATCTTACAGTTATGAGTAGACTATGAACACTATCAACAGTTTTGTAAGCTTGAAACAACCTCCCTTTTTTTTCCTATCAGGACCCACCTTACCTTTTCACATTCACTAGCTTGCTTTCCACATTTCATGTTATTTTCAGTCAGTCAGAAGGTTCATGGTCACAAGTAACAGAAGAATTAAGTCCAGCAAAGGTCATATATTCCAGTCAAATGTCTGAATGAGATGCACTTCAGCCTGTATTTCAGAAATATGTCTCTCTTAGTTGTCTGATAAGAGTTGTAAGGAGTAACTTACTTGACCCTCTACCTCCTATAAGCAATTTTTTTTGCTCTTCCTTGCATCGTATAGACAAGATTACCTGGTGCTCTGTCTGAGTTCTGCATGTTTTTGTGTCAAGGTGTGACAGAGTTCCCTCCTCGTCTTGGGTTGTTGTTGTCTTTGGAGTTCTCTGTTCACTGCATGTTTTTTAGCATAGGACTTCTGTTGACTTTAAAAAAGAAGAGACTAGAAATAACACCACAATATGTGACAATTCAGAATACAACCATATATACATTGAACAGAAACAAAAATTATCAGTATGACAAGTAGCATTAAGAATTAGAGAGAGGCCCATAGAATTTGTACTATAATTCAGCTATTGTTTTGGTTTTTTTTTTAAATGAGGTTATACAGTTCAAATGTGTTGTTTGGTACACAGCATCTGACAAAAAGCAAATGAGGAAAGAAATTAGAGCAAAAAGTAGTTCTT